GTGTCCCACATACAGCAACTAGAAGGATGTGCAACTATGACATACAACTATCTACTGCGGCTTTGGGGGGAAAATAAATAAATAAATAAAATTAAAAAAAAAAAAAGAATAAAACTGAAGACTACTAAAAAAAAAAAAAACATAATTTGATTTGGCTCAGTAATTATCACTTAATGCTCCAGATCCCTAGGGATCCACACTCATATTCCTCTGGTATTAGGAATACTCTGGACAGAGTAGTCTGAGAAGAAATGCGTAAAAGAATGATTATACAAGTACACCTAATTATGTGAGTTAACTTATGTGACAACTATCCGGTACACAGACAAAATAGACGTCACTAAATCCACATAGCAAAAATTCCTATACTTTACTATAGGAGCCCGTGTTTACTCTTTCTAGTAGATGTAGATCTAACAAACCTGGTCATCTACCTTCCAATCCACCCCAAATTAGAAAAGAGAGAGGATGCAAAGGCAAGTGCAATGACAGCACCAGTAACTGAAATCTGACAGCACACAAGGAGAAAAAATATAAAGCAAATAGGGATTTAATATTTACAGTATTCCATGGTCATTCAACATACAGGAAAACAGTTGAACTATGTCATGACTATGAATCAGCAAGAAAAGGTTTACTCATATTCAGCTTAACCTGTCTTCTTTTCTCTTGAGCAGAAAATTTATGACATTTCAGACATTTTAGATTAAATAAAAACTACTGAAGAGGCAGGGCAAAGAGTCAAGGATGACTGTCATGTTTCTGGAACTAGAATAATCAGAAGTTTATCATTAATTGGAATATAGTGCAGTATAGGACAAGTGGAGTACTTTAAAACCCAAGTCCTGGAATTAGTCTCCTATGGTTACTTGTGTGACCTGAGGCAATTTGTTTCCTCACCTGTACAATCAGTCTAACAGCGCCTACTCAAAGGGTTGTTGTAAGGGTTCAATGACTGAGAACAGTGCCTTAGAGAGAACAAGCATCAATCAACAAACATTAGCTACAACTGTAACAGATACTTCTTATGGAAACACTCAAGCTATCCTAGTCTTTCAAGAGAATAATAATAGTAAATCACTCACAAGGTTTTTTTAAAGATTAAATAATAAATATGCAAGTAAAATAGCACAATGCCTAGGTCATGGCAAGCCCTTCAAAAATGATGGCCATTACTACTGCATGAAAAAATATATATATCATATAATATATAAATATATAATTATACAATATATATACTATAATCAGATTATGCTTGGTAGGCAACAGAATATAGTAATCCAGCAAGGAGATCTAGGGTGAAGAATTAGGCATCATTTATACATGTGATGGCTGCAAAAAAAAAAGCACCAAAGACAGCATGCTGGGAGCCCACAAAATAAAGTAAAAAGACACCGGAGAGACAGGTGAAAAACTGAGAAAGAGAAGTGTCATAGAAACCAAGGGAAAAAGATTTTTAAGAAGTGGGGGCCAGCCTGGTGGCATAGCAGTTAAGTGCATGCGCTCTGCGTGGGTGGCCTGAGGGTTTACAGGTTTGGATCCCAGGTGCGCACCAATGCACAGCTGTCAGGCCATGCTGTGGCGGGGTCCCATATAAAGCAGAGGAAGATGGGCACGGATGTTAGCCCAGGGCCAGTCTTCCTCCATAAAAACAGGAAGACTGGCATCAGATGTTAGCTCAGAGCTGATCTTCCTCACCAAAAATAAGAAAGAAAGAAAGAAAGAAAGAAGTGGTCTACTCTACGTGGTATCAAAAGTTGCTGCAAATTGTGAAGTATCCACTGGATCTGCAATCAGGAAGTCACGTGTGCAAAGCTGTTTATGGGGGGCAGAAACCTGGCAGCCACAGGTGGAGGAATGCACGGAAGGTGAGACCTGGAGAAGAAACATTCCTTCTACAATTCTGCTTCCACTGTGCTTCCCACCCCCAAAGGCAGTGACAGGAGATAGTAGCTTTGAGAGACAAAAAGACTATGGAAGGATTTTGTTGTTCGTTTTAAGACTGTTTCCATGCCTCCATCCCCCTACCCTTTTAAAAAATAAATTAACCTCTACACTGCAACCAGAGTAATTTTCTAAAATACAAACGTGATGGTATCATTTCTTTGGTTAACACCCTTCACCAGCTCCCAATCACCCACTGGAAAAAACATGAAGTCCTCACCGCTGGTCCCTGGCTACTTCTGAAATGACCCCTTGCCTTGTCACCTCCCCTTCTCTGGCCACACTTCCACACACATTCTGCGCTCCAGCCTCGTGACATCTCTTGCAGACCCTCAGATGCGCCCAACGCTCTCTTGCCTCTGTACCACTACACGTCTCTCTCCTGAGACATGCCCTTCCTCCCCGTCCCTCTAACAAACTGCTCACTATCCTTGGACACTAAATGCAAACAGCACCTTCTCTGGGGAGCACTCTACCCTTGAGGGGCAGTTCAAGAAGTCTCGGTGCTCCTTCATACCTCCCTCTACCTCAGCCCTGCGTTTTCACCCTGGTAAAATGTTCTGTGACTCCCACCAAACTGCCAGCGTTCTGCAGGGCCAGGCCTGCACTCTCTTCATCTATATTCTTATTTAAAAAGGGGGAGGCGGTAGGGGCAGTAATAATGGTTCTAGGGTCAAAAAGACTCAGGCTTGGGACTGGCCTGGTGGCGTAGGGGTCAAGTGCACGGGCTCCGCTTCGGTGGCCTGGAATTCTCAGGTTTGGATCCTGGGGGTGTCCTATTGTCAAGCCATGCTGTGGCGGCGTCCCATATAAAGTGGAGGAAGATGGGGACGGATGTTAGCCCAGAGCCAGTCTTCCTCGCAAAAAGAGGAGGATTGGCATCCGATGTTGGCTCAGGGCTGGTCTTCCTCACCAAAAAAAAAAAAAAAAAAAGACTCAGGCTTAAGCTCTTGTTTTGCCACTCACTGAATGTGCGGCCTTGGACAAGCCACTAAGGCTCGTTTTCTTTTGTTTTGTTTTGCCTGGGAAATTAAAGTGGCACCTACTTCATTGTAAGAAGAAAAAGAAATACTGAAAAGCAAAGTGATCAGCACAGTGGCTGGCGCAGGGTAGGTGCTTTATTACTTTATGTCCATTCTTACAGCATTAAAAAGAATCAATTACATAACACATAAAATACACCATTAAGTAAATTACGTATTTACATCATTGACTATTATTTAGCAGTTCAACGCACACTTGAATTGATAAACACTAAGATTACTTAACAACATAGCAAGTACATGGCAGAAATGATCACCTGCAAATGGTAACGTCTACTACAGCAACGACGTTACAGAATTAACCACCGACATCTGATTACCAACGTTACTGTCAAAAACTAAGGTCAGACTGAACATGACGTTCCTGAGCCTCTGTGCGCCGTTTCTTTCCCGCTTTCCCCTCACAGACCTTCACAGGGGCTACTCCGAGACACCCAAGAGGAAAACCACTGCATCGCGCTTCGTCCCAGTTCCCTTCTTCTCCAGCCGCGAGTCAGCCAGGAACCCAGAGATCGGGGGCGAGAAGGCCGCGCGGCCGGAGCAGTCACTCCTCGACGGCGCTTCACGGCCCGGGAAGAGCGGCCAAAGAAATCCCCGTGCTCATGACTCAACCCACAGTCAACGACGGTCGCCACAAGCAGACACGGTTTAAAAACCCGCCTGGTATTTAGATTTCTCTCAGACCTTTCCTTAAACGCCCGCGTCCTCACGGTGACCACCCCCCAAGCCCCAGCCGACTGGTCCCGCCGCCGCAGGGGACGGGCGTCAGCATCCTCTCCCGGGGGTGGGGCGGGGCCGCAGCCGCGGGCAGCGGCGCCCACGCGCAGCACAAGCCGGCGGCGCTCCCGAACGCTCTACGTTTGTCCTATTTCACGCGTACATATGGCAACGGCCCGCTGCCGTCATCGGCCTGTCTTCTTATACGCGGACCCGCGAGCGCCCCTCCCCAGACGCGCACCAGGCCGCCCTCGGAGGACACAGCCGCACTCCGGCCGCG